CACAGGCCTCCTGAGCCATCCCAAAAAATCTTAAGGAGGCTGTCAGGGGCCCTGAGGAGCTCACTAAGATCACCGAACGCGTAAAAGCCCTTGTCCAAGACTTCCTCTTCATCAAACGGGGGTCTCGTAAGGGTGCTGGCGGGGGGCCCACGGAGCCAGCACGAGGGTTCGGCCCTCATGGGCAGCCGCAGCACGAGGAATGAGGCTCTGGGATCTCTCGAAGTCTTCGCGGCCCTGATTTGTCTCGCAACTCCATGCGCGGTGGCAAGCCGTCTCGGGCTCTTTCCCACAGCGCCTGCACATGCTCGAGCAAGAATGCCCAGCAGCAAGCTGTCTTTCTCTGGGCCACTGACCGCCCGTGGCCACCGTGATGGTAGCTGACCACAGGTCGGTCTCTGCCTGCTGCTCGAGGCAATGCAGCTCTCTCGTGACTCCAGAGAAATCAGCGCCGTACTTGAGGTCGGCGGAGTCCACGTGATTTGCTGCCAGGGCCCATAGGTGTGCTTTGCGATCCTGAATGAAATCGTCCACTAACTCCATGGCGCCGGCCGCCTTGAAATCCTCTGAGCCGCAACGTGGGAAAGTCCATGTATCCGATCCAATGTCTGTAGGTCTCCCCCAGGCCTCTGGGGAGTGCGGTGTCCAATTCGTCTGGCGAAGGGTAGCGATAACTGCGCCAATCGGCCCCCTCACACGGTTCCAAGAGACTTTCTGGTTAAGTAAAACTTTATCTTTGATGACGGGCCAAGCAGGAGGGAGGAGGGGGAGGAAGGTGGAGGAGGAGGCGAAAGAGGCCATGCGTGGAGACGGGCAAGGGGGGCCAACCCCCGCACATCCCCTGCCTCGGGCAATAATGTCCCTGACCCTGTCGAAGCCTCGGGCAGGGCGCCGCCGCAGCTCCGTCCTCGGGGCTGCTCTGCACGCAGGTCTTCGCCAGCTTCAGGGCGTGCAGGAGCGAGCGTCCCAAGGCGAGCAGTCCCTCCGAGCCTATGGCCGCGCCTGCGCCGAACCTCTCAGGCTCGCGCTGGAGGTGCCCAGGCGGTCGGCAGCGTCGAAGGAGCCAAGGTAGTCGTAGCTGTTCTGGTAGTTGTAGTCGTAGCGGTTCAGGTAGACGGCGCAGCCGTCGAGACCGCCGAGGCGGTCGGCAGCGCCTTCGAAGGAGCCCGCGGCGAGCGCGATCGGGCGGCCGCCCTCGCGGGCGGCAGCATCATGGCACGAGCCGTGCGCGTCGAGCGCGGACGGCTGGAGGCCGAAGGAATCGGCGAAAGCGTCGAAGATCGAGATAGCGTCGACGGCCATGGCCAAGAGGTTGACATGAACGGAGAGAGCCTTGCTGCAGCAGCGAAGCCACAGAAGAGCGCCAAAACGACAAGGAGGGGGCCCTGGGACCAGCTGCGCGCAAGGACGTACAGCACAGGCTTCACCAAGCTCAACTTGCTCATCAACGGCCGCGCCAGCCGCGCGAATAACCCAACGACGAGCTTCTTTGTTCGGTGTATTATCCTTCTTTGTCCTCTTCTCCCTATGCACGCTGTAGGTCGAGCCGTGGGCGTTCGCCCCCTTGTCCATGGTGCCCTTCGTAGCCTTCTTCTCTATCGTCACCTTCTTCGGATCAGCCAGAGGACAATCGCGAACAGCACCGTCTTGTAGAGCGCCACGAGACGCAGCAGCGGCAGGAACTGCAGCAGCTCCGTCGACAGGATGCTGAAGCTCAGCAGGAACTGCAGCAGCTCCGTCAACGGGATGCTGCACGCCAGCAGCCCCGTCTGGTGGAGGAAGAAGCACAGGGAGAGCGGGATCAGCAGCGGCAGGGCCCGAAGCAGCGTCACCGACGTGCAGCAGAAGCCCTGCAGGAGGGCTGAAATACAGGGGGCGCGCCAGCAGCGTCGGCAGGCGGCGGCAGACGCGCAAGGGGAGCGTGGACAGGTAGGACCCTCAGCAGCGCCATCGGCAGCTGGACCAACCAGGGCGCGCACCTCCAGGGCAGTGCGGCTGGCGGCGCGAGCCGGCCAGAGCGCCACGGCCATCGGCGGAGCGTCGGCATGCGCAGGATGGAGACGGCAAAGGCGCGCGCGTGCAGCAGCAAGTGCCTCGTCTGTGAGCTCTGTCAGGTGGGAGTTGTAGCAGTCGTCGCCGAATGCGCAGTGCGCACGGTGGCGGCGTGCCGAACGAGTAGATCCTCGGGCCCACAGGAAGGACCTTCAGGCAGTAGAATTCGCACGCAGGAGGAGCACGGCGGCGGTGGTGGTGGAAGGGGATGTCGGCTCAGGAGCCCCCCTTCGCCTCTCCATCACCACTCAGGCCCTGGCCCCCGACCCGAACCATAGAGCAGCATAAGTGAGGGAAGGAGAAAAGACCAGGAGGAATTAGGCGGGGAGGTCTCATTTACTACCAGAACCCCGTACTGGGGAACTCGGGCATAGACCTTGTTCCATGATGGCGCATCATCGGCACATCGGCCCTTGCGACGCCCGTCCTGGAAGAACATGCCGATGGAAGAGGCGCGAGTAAGAAAACGAATATGGGCACCCTCAGAACAAAAGCACCAGTACGAACATGTGCACACACGCACACAACACACAGACACATGACATGTGCCACATGACATGCGCACACACGCATGACAGGCGAACCCCGCGCACTCCCCACAGGAGCACTCCGTTATCTGCCGCTCCCGACGCAGAAAGCACTTGGACCCCCCCCCCCCCCCGGCCCACCCCCCACCCCCCGAGCAACGGAGAGAGCGAAGACTAAGAGGAGAGGCCATGCCTCAGCCCAGCCCCGAGCTACAACGTGAATGCGAGGACGTGGGGCAGAAGTTGAAATCAGGCCCCGAGCACGCTGCCGCGGCATCGCCCCCCGCCCGCCAGGAAAGGGGGCCCACTCCCTGAGAGATGGTGCAAGACCATCTCCCGGCGCAGGGGGAATGGGTCCCACGTCGTCAGAGTGCAAGACCCCCACTCCCTGGGGGGCGGCGCAAGACCACCTCCCGGCGCAACGGAGCGACCAGAAGGCGACGACGCCCCAGCGGACAGACCGCCCGAGCACGTTCCCCACCGGAGCTGTTTTTCTTCTGTCTCCTGCGTTGATCCTCCTGGGCCAGAGTAGCCCTCTGCGCGCGCTTTGGTGGCGCCTCCCCCCCCGCCCCTCCACCCCCCGCCCATCCCGCCCGCCTGTCAGTCGGCGCTCTACTCCGTGGAGGTCGGGGGGCCACAACTGCGCGGCGCCCCGGAGAGGCACCTTAGGATCAAGAGGCCCAGACCGAGGCGCTTCACTTCGTCACTTCGCCTACCGGTCCCTGGTGATCAGGCGGGACCCAGCCTCGCGCTGCCCGTTGTGCGGGGGCAGATCCCAGGAATCCGACTGCCCCCGCGCACGCATGGCAGCGAACCGTGCTGGCCCGCCCCACTCATCGTAGTCTGGGCCATCGTATCGCGGTGAGGAGCACATGAAGGGTCGCACCTGGGACTTGTTCCACAAAGCGCACCCCCGCCGCACCAAGCTCAGGTCACCGTGAGGCGACAGGAAAAGTCCGGGCCGGGGGGGCCCGAACGGCCCCCCATCCGCGGGTTGGCCGCCCCCAAGCGCCATCGCATTTCTGCGCGCGCGCTCGACCGAACGCCCCCCCGGGCACCCGGAGAGCGTTGCCCCTCGGCTCAACCGGGAGGTTTGGGCACTTCGAGCCTATTTCAGCGCCGTGCCGCCCAGTCTCTTACCCCGAGACGCCTACCGCTCCCGTCCGACTCGGCGGTCTATGGACGCGCCGGCGCGGTTGGCGGCCACGCCCGGCACCGCGGCCCCGGGGGCAGGGCGTATACGCCGGTGAGAACTACGGGCGCGCCTCCCGACGTCATAGCTAAGGCTGGACGTGGCATTTGATTCCGAGGATCCGAAACGCTGCATGGAGCAACCCAAACCCGAGACCCGAGACCCTGCGTGCACCAACCCAGCACGCATACCACGCCGCGCAAACACGCACGCATACACATACACGCCAGGCACATGCAACACTCAAACGCTCGCACGCGCGCGCAAAGATACTCTACCCGTCTGTTGCCAATATTCGTAGTTCCGCCGTGCCGCGGCAGGAGCACGGTGCCAAAAAAGTAGGGCAAGGTCGGCACAAGCAGCAGGTAGCTCGGCGCCAGCATCCTGTAGAGAAGCGCTGCCAACCGCAGAAAACCTATGGGATCGTCATCGCCTCCGGACGGACCCGCACGAACGACGCGCAGAGCCGGCCGCAGACCGCGACGGTCGTCTCCTGCGCCAGCAGCCTCGTCGCCAAGAGAGATCAGCCGAGGGCCACGATCCACAGCAGGTTCCCGAACACGATCCTCGAAAATGCTGAGCCCCGTCTCGAGGCCTGAGTCAGGCAGGAAAGATTCATAGTCCAGGGGCACCTCAGGCGCCGTGGTGTAGTCCATGGAGCAGACGGCGTGCGGGGCGGAGTCGGCGCTGGTGCAGCTCGTGGAGTAATCATCGGCGGCAGCACGACCAGCTCGTTCTTCGAACAGCGCCAGCTCAACCTCGAAATCGACGTCGTGCAAAATGGGGTCGACGCCCTGACAGAAAAATCACCATGCACAGGAACATCAGCGCGAACATCATGCCACATGGAGCAGTCGGTGATCGAAGCGTAGTAGGCGCTAGCGTATTCCGAGGTGCAGCTGGTGAAGCCCGTGGCGCACGGGTCCACATTGTAGAGGACACAGGGCTTGGCCATCATAAGAATGACCTCATCCATCGCGTTCGTGACCTTAGCCGTGCGCGGGATGAGGTCGATCGAATCAGGCTCCTCCACGGCTTGCGAAGAGGAGTCGGCGGTGAGCGCCGACGTATTGGCGCAAGCCTGGACTCCCGCTCTAGGCGGGGTTCGGTCGCGCACTGCATCGTCATCGTCGCCGTCGGCAGGTACATCAGCCCAGCGTGGTCGAGAACCAGCTGAATGGCCCGGACCTCCAACGCGGTCCTGAGGTGCAGCATGGCCCCGAGCTGAGCTCCAGAACGATCGCGGTCTCCAGCGCGCACCCGATGTCCCCCGTGATCTCGGCTTCCAGCAGGTAGCGTCGCAGCAAGCGCAAGGTGGGCCCTGTGGAGTTGCGTGCCCGTGCTTGGCGGCGCCCGCCAGCTCCAGCGCCGTTCGAGCAGCGGCATGGGCGGCAGGTGAGAGCGTCCCTCGGCGATGAGCTCGGTGCGCAGCCACTTGACCGGAAGCGGCAGGGGGCATCCCGTGCGCGATCCCATCCCCGTGAAGCAAGCGCTGGAAGGCCTTGCCGTGGGCCACGCGCTTCACGCAAGCCCCATCGACCACCTCCACTTCGACGAATGCCTTCCCAGTAGCATTCTTAGGGGCACGAAACATGGCATAAACATAAAAACTCGGAGGTCCGCACGGACTTCTCGGATCGGCGCTGGACCCTCGCCCTGGCGCGCGGAGCGCGCCAGGGGCGGCGCCGGAGGCGCCGCCAGAGGGGGTCCAGCGCGGATCCGAGAAATCTGCGCGGACCTCCGAGTTGTCATGTTTATGTCATTCTTTTTTGTTTCTGCCGGTACTTCGCCACCGGGCTCCTGTACAAGGCGTTCCTTTGCAACCACGTCGTTTTCGGCACCGCCTGATCCCGAGGCTTTGCCTCCTCCCGGCATTGCCGTGAGGCCGCGCTCCTTCTGTCCCCCCCTCTGTTAATTCAACCTTCGCGCGGCCCGCTTAGCTTCGACCGGAAGAGGTGCGCTCTCGACCCGCGAATCAAAAAATCATGTTTACGTCATTCTTCGATCCCCTAGTTATGGGAAGTGGTGCATTCGGCGCCCCGCTCGCGGTGGCGTCGTTGTGTCGCGGGGAGCGAGGCTCCGGCGGCCGAGGCGGCACCCCGGGATCGGCAGCTCGGCACGGCAGCCCTGCGCGAGGCAGCGCCCGCGCAGAGGTGGGAGACGACCAGGCAGAGGACGCAGGCCACCATGCTCCTGCAGGCGGCACTATCCTTAAGTCGGGCCTGTCCCCCTACAGGCCGAATTTGAAGGAGAATTAAGACATACCCTCAAAGCACCCCCCAAAATGCCATAAAAATGCCCAAAGATGCTCCAAAAATCGTCCCTGTTTGACTACTTTTGAATGTTCATCCTGTAGAGGGACAGGCCCGACTGAAGACCAGGTAGCCGACGCAGGCCACCATGCTCCTGCAGGCGGCACCATCCCCACGGGTCCCGCTCGCGGGCGGGCGCGCGCAGCCACCAGTGGAGCCACCGGCAGGCACGGCAGCCACCGGGAACCGAAAAGGCTGCGGAGGGCAAGCAGGAGGAGGGGGAGGAGGGGAGGAGGAGGAGGAGGAGGAGGAGGAGGAGGAGGAGGAGGAGGAGGAGGAGGAGGAGGGGGAGGAGGAGGGGGATGGCAGCGCCGTGTGCCGGCCCGAGCCTACGGCCCGAGCCTGAGGAGGAGGGTGGGGGGGGGGGCAAAGAAGGGCTGGATCATGACGAAATGCGGGAAAGGAGGGGGAGGAGGAGGAGGAGGAGGAGGAGGAGGAGGAGGAGGAGGAGGAGGAGGAGGAGGAGGAGGAGGAGGAGGAGAGGAGGAGGAGGAGGAGGAGGAGGAGGAGGAGGAGGAGGAGGAGGAGGAGGAGGAGGAGGAGGAGGAGGAGGAGGAGGATCAGCAAGGGTAGCAGCCCCAGGATTGCATTACTTCGGGACAGCTCGCACTTTATGCGTCAGCCCTACATCTCTTCTGCCAGCCCCCGCTCGCATTATAACCTCGCATTGCCTAGTCAAGAGTAAGTCCCAGGATTGCATTACATTCCTTTTTCAGGGACAGAAGCCCATCAGCGCCTGCCTTACACAATCAGCCAGCCACTTCAAAACCTTTCATGCATACAGCTCAGGACGGGGTGGGAGTTCACTCTTACCCAAGGTAGGGTAGCAGCCCCAGGATTGCATTACTTTGGGACGACTCGCACGTCCTGTGCCAGCCTCGAATCTCTTCTGCCAGCCAACTCTCGCATTCCAATGGGCAGCTGTACTTATGGCGCCTGCCCTACACCCATTCTGCCAGCCACTCTGAGCCAACCTGCAGCGTACAGTCCACCTCTCCAGTTTTACCTTCTCGCCTGCAGCTCCTGCTGACAGCACCTGCTCTGCAACGGTCGCAGGCATGGGCTCGGGGGATGGTGGTGGCTATCGTGTGGTTGGGAAGGGGTGGGAGTTCACTCTTGAGTAAACAAAAATAGCAACCTCAAGATTGCATACTTTGGGACAGCTCGCACCTATGTGCCAATCCCACATCATTTCTGCCAACCACCTCTCTCACTCGCGCGTACGGGTAGCAGCCCTAGAATTGCACCTGGACCAGCCAGCACAAACTGTGCCAGCCCTGCACTAACGCCCCTGTAGCTACCAAAATATAGGCATACTTTACGCACTGACCTTCCCTGCTGGCATCGTTCGGGCCAGCTTCCTGGCCTTGCATGCACTCGGCTATCCTACAAACAATATGGCGGACACTTAGGTGACACTAAGGGTGTGGTGCAGGAAGAGGTGGCACACTACTCGCCATCGCTCGGACGTCCATTCCCTGTGCTTTTTTTCGATTTCGTGCGTGGCTGTTTCGCCAAATGATCAAGGATGTTCCTCGATGGCCCTCGCCGAGGAAAACAACGCACACGCCCGAGCGATGCCAAGACTAAGGTCGGGATGGCCGAGCTTCACCACCTGGCAGGCGCCTCCTCTTTTTCCTTCTCTTCGCCGTCTTCGCTGTCAGTCAGTTGGCCGCGGCGCCTGCCAGGTGGACTGCCAGTGTAGCTCTTCGCCTGGTCGGTGTTACATCGGCCTGCCTCTTTTTCCCAAAGCGCAGCAGCCCTGAGGCTTATGTTGGTCCAACGCCATGAAAGGGACGAAAACACTTGCAGACCCAACATGCATTCACGAAAATGCATCAAACCCTCCCTCCAAAGACTCGCTTCACGAATCCCTACAAGGATCTGATTTTCAATGGGAGAAATGCCCCGTCGGACGACCTGAAACCCTGAAACGTGCCATGGCATCATTCCTGGGACTCTAACGCAGCGAACCAACGTGACTGATTTATGCCCTGACAGCCCTACATCGTGCCAAAACACCACTTCTGGGACGTTCGCCATTCGACTCCTTAAAACTGACGTGAACTCTTACAACGAATGTGCGCGGCACTAAAACAAGAACCACAGTTTGAAACAAAAAAACTCCATCCGTGAACATCTTGCGAACTGTTAAGACGATTATGCACGGCGCTGAGGCGAAAACCACCTTTTGCAGCGCTGAGGCGGAAACCACCTCGAAAACCGCCCGCCCTCCATCCGTAAAACTCTGGCAACGTCTGAAATTGATGACCATTTGTCCAAACCATCCTGCAGAGTTGGGTCCTCGCTTTGAAAAAGACAGCGCCCCGCGTTCCTCTACTCTCCTCTCCTCCTCCTCCCCCTCCTCCCTCTGCCCATCCTTGCCCTTGCCATACGCAGTTGGCACACCCCTCACACGCGCTGCGTCCCCCAGAGAAAGCCCCATCGAAGGCGCCAGTGGCTGCGTTTGCATGCCGCATGCCGCCACCCCAGTCACTTTGGCACACCCCTCACACGTTTCGTGGCCCCTTATGTAGGGAGCTCCGTCGGAGGAGCCAGTGGCTGTGCTCGCATGCCGCCACCCCCCTCACATTGGCACACCTCTCACACGGTTCGTGGTCCCATAGGGAGCTCCACCGTAGGTCCCCAGTGGCTGCGTTGGCATGCTGCCACCCCCATCACTGTGGCACACCCCTCACACGCTTCGTGGCCCCATAGAGAGCTCCACTGAAAGCTCCAGTGGCTGCGCCCGCATTATTCTCCCGCTTCTCCCTGTACCTGTGAGCCGCAACGGGTTACATCATAATGTAACCCGTTTCGTCTTACCTCCGCGCCCCCTGCGGGCGGCCCCAGCGGCAGCGCCCGCATGGCGGCCCCGCCCTCTCTTCACGCGTTCCGTGGCCCCGTAGGGAGCTCCACTCAAGGCGGTTTTCACAATAGTGGTACTCACAACTGCTCAAGGTTGGATTCTTCACCAGGATAATGTTTGTCAAGACAATCGCGCCATGACGAGAAGAAACCTGCAAGATGCTGCCCAGTGGCAAGCGATCAAAGTCGAGACCACTAGCTTAACTAATTCATCTACTCACACAATTCTATCCAAAACGGGCATACATGTTAAATGGAATCAAAACGTCGCCGCGATCCTAGCGAAGCCTTCCTGGGGGCCTCTCAGGGGCATGCACGGACCGCAGCATAAATCGAAGTCGACTTTGCAACCCTGGCGCTGTCAAAACTCGTCGGTTGACCGTTGAGGCTGACCGACTGCGCATTCCTTGAATTCATTGATCAGGGGGGGGGGTGCGTGGACAGGGAGCGGCAAAAGAGGAAGAGGGGCACGAGAACGGGAGATCCAGCGCCACGGCACACGGGCCGTGCACACGGGGCTCATCCAATGCGTTGACCGGCCGACGAGAGCGAGGAAACCCGCTGCGAGGAGTCCAGGCAACGCCGCGCGCCTTCCAGGAGGGCCCCACGGGCTCCAGCTGCCTCCGCCCATCGACGGCACGCCCGGGCCCCCCCGCAGCCCACCTCACTTCTTCAGCGCTGCCACCTCCTCGACTGGAGCCTCCGCCGAGGTCGCTGGGGCCTCCGGGGTGCTCCCGCTCTCGGACAGCTGCGACTCCGCCACAGCCTCCGCCGCGGCCAGCGCGGCGTCCAGCCTCTCGGACTCCGCCGCGGACGGCGCCGCCTGCGCCTTGGCGACCGCGGCCGCCTCCTTGGCAGCCTGCACTGCCTCCTGCATGACTGCGATCGCCTTCTTCTCTGCCGCGACGGCCGCCGCCAAGTTGTCGGCCGCACTTGCGGGGGCAGCCGCCGCCTCCCCCTCCTCGCCGGTCGACGAGGGGGCATCAAGCTGTCTTCTGGCCGCATCTTCCGTCGTCATGCCCTCTTCCGTCGTCGTCTCGCCCTCCAGCGCGTCCTGCTCAGTGACATTATCCCAAGGGAACCACTCCTTGTTCTCCGACAGTGGAACGATTGGCAAGTGCACCGTGCATGGCATCTCCTTGGTGCATAGCCCACCCCCAGTGGCGAACGACGTGTTCACAACGGCATACTGGCCACCAGGCCCTTTTGCACCAGCGGTGCAAGCGAGATGCGAGCGGAACTTGCAGCATGTTGAGGGATCGGTGCGGAACATGTACTGGCCCACGGTCAGAATCGCGCACTTCTTATCCACCGCCATGCCGCTGGGCACGGAGGGGGCGTGTGCTCCGGTCCCTTGCTTAACGGGCGAAGAACGGTATAAAATAAACTTTTTCGCTGTCGGGGGCGCCTGCCCCTGGGCGGCTGGAAAGTTTATACCCTTACGGTGGCACCGTAGGGGTATAAACTTTCCAGCCGCCCAGGGATAGGCGCCCCCGACAGCGAAAAAAAATATTTTTTACCGTTCTTCGCTCGCTGACTTGCCTGATCCTCTGAGCCTCACTCCTCACTCCTCACTCCTCAACCTTCGTGAAGGGACCCGGACCCCTCGCTCTCAGAGATCCCTCGGCCTCCCGCGTGCCGTGCTTGGGGCTTCCCGCGTGCTCCCATGGGCTCCGGGAAGGGCTGCCGCGTGAATGCTCGGGCCCACCAGAGCGAGACGGGCCAAGATGAAGGGGCCCAAGGACACACACACACACACATATATATATATATATATATATATATATATATATACACACAAATAAAAATATTCCCCATATTTTCCTACATTTTCTTGGTTTTTGTCTTCCCTCCCACTTCCCATATTTTCCCGTATTTTCTGGGAAATCGACTGTTAATTGTGTCTGTGTGTTTCTTTCCCTCCTGACAAGAGGGCCCCAAGAAGCCCCCAAGACGATCCAAGAGGGCCCCGAGTCGCCGAAAGATCGCTCCAGGACGCTCAAGATGCTAGACGGCCCAAGAGGCCTCCAGGCCGCTCAAAAATGCCTCCAAGAGGCCTCCCAAGAGGGCCCTAAGATGCCAAAATCACTGATTCTCTCAGGGTTTTTCGAAGATTGTGACGTTCTCGCCTTCCGGCTTCCCGACAGACCGCCCCAAGACGGCCCAAGAGGTGAGGCCCCCACCAGGGCCCCAAAACTGCTCAAGAGGGCCCCGAGAGGCCCAAGATGCGCCCAAATCAGCCCAAGAGGGCCTCAAGACGGCTCAAAAAGGCCCAAAAGAGGGAACACGAACCGAAAATCCAAGCCTTCCGTCCCAAGAGGCCCCCAGGAGTCGCCCAGGAGGCCCCCAAGAGGGCCCCAAAAGGCCCTGAGAGGCCCCCAAGAGGCCCAAAAGAGGCTCCAAGAGGCCCCCCAAAAAGCCCCTAGAGGTGTCCTAACTGCTGGCAAGAGGCACTTGAGAGGTCTCCCACGAAATCAAAACGAACATCCAATAGGCTTCACACCCACAATCCAAGCAAGGTGGCCGGATGGGCCGAAGGCCACTAGATCCGCCGCCTCCTGTGGTCTTGCCACAGGGATGCCCGGCGTGCTGAATCCTAGACGGTTTGGTTAGGGTTCTTTTTCCAAACGAACTCTCCCTGGGGCTTCGGCCAGTACCGCTGGCCACCCGAAAGGCAAGGCCCAGAATTCTCATAACACTTTCCCCAAGACGGCTCAAGATGGCTTTCAAGACCGCTAAGATGGCCCAAGATGGCCTCCAAGATGCATGATTCCAAGATGTCCAAGATGGCCTCCAAGACGGCTAAGATGGCTCCAGGATGCATCGAAGACGGCCCAAGATGCATCCAAGACGGCCTGAGATAGCCTCAAGATGGCCCAAGACGGCCCAAGACGACCCCATGAGTCCTCCTAGACGGCCCAAGAGACCTCCAAGAGGTCCTCCAGGAAGGCCAGAAGAGGCCGAAATAATTGATTTGCATCATCTTTGTTCCAGTATCTGCTTGAGGAACGGAGCCTGGCACAGGACAGCTTTGGCAGGCGGCAAAGGCCTGCGGCAAAAGAGAATTCTGGAGGCAACGGGCTGGCATTGGGAGCCAGAAAGACTATGGAGCAGGGCTGAAACGGAACTGTCGATGCAAACTCGTTCAACAACGTACATGCATCATCTTTTTTCCAGTATCTGCTTGAGGAACGGAGCCTGGCACAGGACAGCTTTGGCAGGCGGCAAAGGCCCATCTACAACAAGGCACAGTACCCATTAGCAAGCATTGCACTGGCTCAGCCGTGAATCAACATCCATTTTCGGGAGACCATCCTGGCGACAATTGTCTGCGAGAACATTCGAGCAAGCTGCCTGCAGATGGCGTCGGGATAGGCGGCCTTCTGGTGAGTGCGGAAGTGAGTAGCACCGCTTTCCTTTCCAGACAGCTCAAGATGAGGCTGACCAGAAAACTCACACACACCACGGCCATGACATTTCATAGACAAGAGAGAAGGGGAGGGACGACAATGCAAGAATTGGAACTTAGTGCGAGCTCGAAAGGGCCGACCTGCCGCACATTGGTCAACAATAGCTTCGAAGAAGAAAGGAGAGTGATGGCGGCGAGTTGTCTGGAAAATGCCAAAGCCAACTGCTGCAGGGATTCTCTTCGCCGACAGGAATGTTGAACTGTGCAGCTAGCTGCCAGATCTGCCCTGCTCGGGAGGCGAGCAGGTTGCCAAGCTCAAGCTTGGCCTGATCGGCAGCAGCTAAATTTGGCAAGCCAAAGATGTGAGAGCCGTCACGAAGGCGCCGAGGCATGCGGGAAGTGGGGGCGCCTCGTCGCGCTTGAGAAAGCGATTCACAAGGCGTGCCCATGAAAATAGCCTTGACTTTGCCGCTGGCAATCCAGCCGCGAAGCACAGCCCACGGCGCAGGCTGGGCAAGATCAAACTCTTGCCCATGCAGAACATCCCATTCAATGACTGCATGCCCTGCCTGTCGCAGGTGTCGCGCAAGGTTGCCAGAGCCACTGAAGAGTTCAATGAAGATGCGAGAGTCATGACCTTTGCTACTCATCACCGCTGAGGCGAGTACAGCTTGCAGGCGGCGTCGAGTCCAGCAGCCAACCGTTCGATCTCCTGGCGCTGGGGGGCGGGAATCTTCATCCACTCGATCGCCACTCGCCCGTGCTTGTCGTAGCGCCGCACGCTGTTGAAGGCGCGCCAGTATCCTCGTTGCTGCACCTCCATTAGCGCGCGGCTGGCCGTCAGGCGGTCGTGGCTGGCGCCGCCGCGCCTGAGGCTGTAGAGCGTGCCTGCTAAACAGCTGGCTCCCACAGCCGCGAGCGCCTGGCCAAACCGCCGCTGGAGGAGGTTGTACTCGAAGTCCCACAGCGGGTGCCAGGAGCCCAGGCGGGAGTCGCGTAGGCGCGCCAAGGCCCAAGCCAGGGCCTGCTGGCGCGGGAGGTCGAGCACAACGGTATGGTCCATCTCGCCTGTCTTGCCCGGTTGCTGCAACTCTGCAGCATGCACCACTACTGACATGTGTGAGCCCGCGCTGGTGGCCGAGCCGGGCCGGTGAGCTGGGCGGCCCGCAGCGCCAGCGCCTCCGAGGGTCTCAGTTGCCCTCGAACATCAGCATGACGCACAAGGCGGTCGCAAACTCGCCCTGGTGCCCAAGCCAAGCTGCCGCTGCGCGAACCACAAGCTCTGGGAGAGGCGGACGAGAGCCTGGCGGATGCAGGCGCTTCCAGCCCGCCAGCGAGTGAGCGAGCTGCGGGAAGCATCTCTGCAAGGGCGCTACGTGGAGCTGCGGGAGCCCCCACAGCACCGCGGCGCCAAGCCTTGCAGCCGTCGCCCGCGCCACTCCCTGGTCGAAGGCCCACAGCAGGAAGTCGGCCAGCGCTGCGTCCCAAGCAGCCACAGGCCAGTCGGGCAGGGCGTCCACCATGAGCCAGCCTGCCAGCAGCCGCAACACCTTCAGGTAGAGCACCTGAGTGGACGGCCGCACCTTGTTGGCTGCCAGAAAGCCCTGGCGGGGCAGCAAGCGGGCCCGCTCCTGGGCGGAAGGCGGCGGCAGCTGCGCTCTGCTCCTTGCGGATTCGCCACCACCAACGGCTCGCTTCCGGGTCGGCGAAGCGCCTCCCACCTCTGGCAGACTTGGCTGGCCGAACGGCGGCGCTGCTTGGAGCGTGCGGACCTCCTGCATGGCCACAGCTGCCGTGACGCCTGAACTGGTCCCCCTGCTTGGGCCAAGACGGCCCCGGACCAGACTGGAACCGTCTTGACGGGCCATCCGCAGGGTTTAGCTCTGAGGGGATCCATCTGAACGTGACCTTGAGATTGCAGGCGACCGATATGGCGTAGGAACAACGGCAGCCGGACAAGAGACCAAAGTCGCATGCACGACCCTTTTTATGGGCGCAGATCATCGACATGTTGTCGCCCAGGCCCAGCAAGCGATGCCCGTGACATCTCGAATTGCGAGAGGCGCGCCGTAGCCAGAGAAGCCCTGCTGAGCTCTCCAGCCTGTGGATAGTACTTTGACGCCTCCATCTGCATGCAACAGCCGTGATCCAGGCCGCCTCGCGCAGCAGCTCTGCGCTCACCTCGGCGAAACCCGCCGCGCGCCCGAGCAGGAGTGCGGCGGGGTCAGAGAGCTCGATGCTGTCAGCGGCCAGGGCAGCGTCCCGCGGAGCCACCAATGAGGCGAGGGGCCCGCGAAAACGCAGCTTCCCCGGCTGCCTGCCTGCGGCCTGCACCGCGCTCAAAGGCCAGCGCGCAGCACAGACTCCCGCGCCCCAAGGCGACGCGTCAAAGGCACCTACCTCAGAGTGCCAGGGCCTCTTCATGTCGGCGAACACCGTGGGCAACAACGCAAGCACCCACCTGAGCTCACGTCGGCAGCTGGGCCACAGCGGCTGCGCCCTGTCGTAGGTCGACCGGATGAAGACGTAGACCGCGCTGAGGAGGCTGAGAGCCTCACGCCGCAGCAGCAGCAGCGCGACCACGTGGCCCACAAGCCTCTCCAACTGGCGTCCAGTGATACGCCTTCCTGGCTCCAGCAAGTGTGAGATGCAGCCGTGCACCCTCCAAAACTTCTTGGGTGCGGGGCGCCACCTGGCGGCCTTGGAATCCAGCGTGAAGCCGAGGAGGACGACGTCCAAGTCAAGCGACGCCCTGACGCCCTCGCTGGTGAACGAGCCCAGCATGTCATTGACAACCTGCAACGCTGTCTCGCGACTGGTGCTAATGGCCGCAAAGTTGTCTATGTACAAGACCTTGGCTGCAACAGAGCTGTCCGAGAGGCACGTCCCAGGCTGCTTGTCCACCAACCACTGGTTGTTCGGAGAGATCGAAGCCAGCACGTTCAGGTGGGCAGACTGCACAAAGTGGACGGCCCAGTTCCATCCCATGGGAACGACTCGCACACGGAAGGCTATCCTGGGCCGCGCCGCAAGCTCAGGCCCCAGTGCCTCACGCAGGCGGGCAGGCAGCATGCGAGTCGCCAGGCTCGGCAGGCAGAAGTAGTTCCTGGCCCATGCGGGCAGCACGTACTGGTAGAAGCACACCTCCACGTCACCCGCCGCCAAGTGCACCTCCTCGCCGGGCGTGCGCTCCAAGCTGCTGAGGGCGTCGCCGGAGGCCAAATGCGTGTACTCGGGCGCCCTGAAGTGACAGTTCGCCCTCCTGGTGTCAAAGATAAGCCTCAGCTTGTCATCTTTGCGAGGCACAAAAAAGACGCCAGTCTCCTCCTTCCGATCCAGCTCATAGTCCAAAACTTCAACGATCCCTGCGTCGTAAAGCTCGAGCAGAAACCGTCCGTAGTCAAAGCCCCGTTGGGCCAGCCTGCCGTCCACGTAACACGCGACGTCAGCCTCCTCCAGAGCAGCAGAAGCCTCCTGCTCCGAGCGCAATAGCCCGTGCCCGGACTCCAGCGCTGACTGCAGGTGCGGAGGAAGTAGCCGAACAAGATCGACGCGCCCAGCACCGCCAGAAGGAAGGGAGACCCTCCCGCGCTGGTAGCCGGCTCTCGCCCCGATGGCTGGCTCATCAGCATGGCCAGGTCGAAGCCCCAGAAGCGCCTGAAACGCCTCCTGGTTGGTGCAATCCTCAGTCTTCGGCGGGACCGCGGCGTAGACCTCACCCAGATGCTGCAACGCGGAGCGTTGCGCCAAGCTAAGCCGCCCGCCGCTGTCAGCCAACCGACCACCCCCGCCCAGCTCGTTGAGCGCCGCGACGCCTTCCAGCATCCAGCGTTCCTGGCGCCTGCAGCGTGCGGCCTTGCGCCGCTGCCCCAGCGAGAGCTCGCCGTCGAGGGCCGAGAACCCCTTCAAGCACTGGAGCGCCTCGAAGCTGAGCGGGATGGGCAGCGCGCCCCTTTGCGTGAGACTGTCATCGCCGAAACCCAGCGAGGTGGCATCGTTCAGCACGCCTCGCCCCCCCTGCAAACTCGCGCCGAGGCCGGGGGCATCCCCGGCGCGAGGGGGCGCCTCAGGCGCCACGGCCGCGCCCGCGGCCGCGCGCCTTCGCCTTGGCCCCCGCCGACGGTTCGCCAGAGGCCGCGCCGCCGTCGACGCCGCGCTCCAGCAGCCTTTCTTCTCGCCCCTTCCTGCGTTCCTTGAGGATGGCACTTTCCTCTCGGAGCGTCTCCGCCACCCAGCTCTCCAAGGCGGGGCAGACAAGCGCTGAGCCGCGGCTCCTGTCCTGCCCGAGGAAGATGGATCGCTCATCGAGCCAGGGTGCAGCGTCCTGACCAGCCTCGGCTTCGCGCAAACTCGAGGCGTACAGCTCCTCCCAGAGCTGGTAGCGGCGGCAGAGGATCTCCACCACCACCAGCTCGCCAGCGTTGAGCTGGTCGTAGGTGGTGAGCTCCTGCAGCACCTCGGAGATGAAGTGGCGGTCGTCCACGCCCGAGTCGGAAGCTGTGAGCCCCTGGATCGACCTCCACCAGAAATGCCTCTGCAGCGGCGCGTAGCCCGCCTCCGAGATCTTCTCGAGCAGCCAGGCGGCGGTCCTCGGCCCCTTGATGCGCCAGTCTGGGAAGGGCGTGGTGGACATCTTGGCCACGGCGTCGTGGAAGGACCTGGAGCGGCCACCAGCTGGTGAGTAGAGCACCGGCAGCGTGCGAAGGTCTCCCCCGCTGCTGGAGAGCGCTGCCGTCCCTGCCTCCAGGGTGTCAGCCACTGCGACCGCCAGCGAGACGCCTGTCGCCAGCACCACGACCCCGCGGTCGCCCAGCACGACCTGCGGCTGGCCATCCGCACCGAGGAGCTCCGGCGGGATAGGGGCCCCAGCCGTGAAGCCCCCACGCGTCTCCGCCGAGAGCCAGACCGCATCTGCTGGCGGCGCTGCGGGCCGCGGCGGTGCTGGGGCGAGGAGAGCGCCGGCCGCGGCTGCCCTATGCGGCGCGGCCGGCGCCGCCGCCAGAGCGCCGGCCGCGGCCGCGCCCCCCGCCGCTGGCCCAGCGGGCCTCGCGGCGGCCGCCAGCGCAGCAGGAGCCGGCGCCTCGGCAAGCGCCCCCGCCTCGCCGTCGGCCAGCACCCCCTGGGGCGCCGCTGGGGCCGGCAAGCCCTCCTCCTCGCGGATGTCCAAGGCCATCTGCGCCGCCTCGTCGCACAGCTGCTGCAACTCGGCGCTGAGGCGAGCGTTGTCCACCCGCAGAATATGCCCCTGTGGCCTCGGCACGGGAAGGCCGCCCCGTGGACCCAGCGGCAGCAGGCGGAGAGCCTGGGACATATCCTCATCATAGATGTCCCAGTCCGCGGTGAGCACCACGAAGCGGAAGTCCTGAATGTGCGCCAGCATGATCCTCTCATGCCAGTAGTCATCGCGCGGGTCGTAGTAGGCGAGGGCCCTCGACCCCACCTGCAGACTCTGCAGGCAGCGCAGCGTGCGTTCTGCTGGGCTGCGGGCCGCCATCCAATCCTAGTCTCGGCGCACGTGCGGCCCTCTTCCACAATAACCCAGCGGTCGCTGCCGAGAGCACACCTGCGAGCAGCCCCACAATGAAGGTGCCCAGCGCGAACGACGGCTCGGGGCACTGCAGCAACGGACAGCTTGGGCACGCAGGACAATTGAGCTGCTCTGGACCGCAGCGCTCCAGCTGACGTCCCAGCAAGTTCACGATATCGCTGCTGACCTGGCAATCCGCGATGCAATGGCAGTCGGGACAGCGTGCAACTGAAAGGAGGGGGGCCCACGGAGCAACGGCCTGCAAGCTACGCAGGGCCAAGTCCATGAGCCAGAAAGACTTGAGAGCAGGGCTGAAACGGAACTGTGCGATGCAAACTCGTTCAACAACGTACATCCCTTAGGTTTTTGAAGGATTTTGGCATTTGCTTCTTTTCGGCCTTCCGACGGCCCGAGACGGCCCAAGAGCCCCTCCCAAGATCGCCCAAGAGGCCTCCAAGAGGGCCTCAAAACGGCCAAAGAGGCCCCTGAGACTGTCCCAAGAGGGCCCCAAGACGACCCACGAGGCCTCCAAAACGCCCAAGATGGCTCCAAGATGGCTCGAGACAGCCCCTAAGAGGCCCCCAAGAGGTCTCCGTGACGGCCCCAGAGGCATCCAAGAGGTTCTCCAGGAAGGCCCGAAGAGGCCGAAATCATTTATGTGCCGTAGGATTTTGAAGGAATTTGGCGTTTGCTTCTGTTCGGCCTTCCGACGACGGCCCAAGAGCCCCCAAAGGTCACCCCACGATCGCCAAAGAGGCCTCCAAGAGGCCCCAGAATGGCCAAAGAGGCCCCCAAGACGGTCCCAAGAGGGCCCAAATACGACCCGCGAGGCCTCCAGGACGCTCAAAATAGCCTCCAAGACAGCCCTGGAGCACCCTAAGGGGGCCCCAAGTCGGCCCAGAAAGGACGGCTTCCGACGGGCCAGGAGGCCATCAAGACGGCCCAAGATGGCTCGAAGATGGCCCAAGACAACCCAAGAGGCCCCCAAGAGGTTCCCAAGACGGCCCCCGAGGCTCCCAAGGGAGCCTCCAGGAAGGCCCGAAGGAGCCAAACTCATTGATTTGCCGTAGGTGTTTGAAGGATTTTGGCATTTGCTTCTTTTCGATCTTCCGACGGCCCGAGTCGGCCCCAGAGCCCCCAAAGGTTCGCCCCAAGATCGCCAAAAAGTCCTTCCACGATGGCCCCAGAACGGCCCAAGAGGCCCCCAAGACGGCCCCAAGACGGCCCAAGAGGCCTCCAAGACGCCCAAGATGGCCTCCAAGGCGGCCCTGGAGCACCCCAAGAGGGCCTCAAGTCGGCCCAGAGAGGCTCCCAAGACGGCTTCCGACGGCGTCAGACGGGCCAGAAATGCCCTAAGACTGTCAAAGAGGCCCCCGAGAAGCCCCCAAAGGCCCCCAAGAGGCCCAAGGAGGCCCCCAAGATGCCTTCAAAAGGCTCCCAAGAAGCTCCAAGGAGGCCCCAAGAGTGCCTCCAGAGGCTCTTAAGATACCCTCTCCTCCTACACCTCCTCCTCCTCCTCCTATTGATTTTCCCCGCCATCCTCCCCCAAGTGTTCCCCGGAGGGTTTCTACATCGGCTGGGGGAGCACATGGCACGACAGCTTGGCAGAGCTCTTGCCACAACGTTCGGCCACATGGGCGATTCCAAAAGGCAGGGGGCGGCGGTGATTCGCCATGGGCGCCTTCGATCCACCACCCCCTGTTGATCTATTATAAAAATGCCTGGCGTGCTAGATCCTACGGTTTGGTTTTGGTTCTTTTCCAACAGAACCCCCCTGGGGTTTCGGTCCATGCCGCCGGCCGCCCGGAAGGCCTCGCCGGTGCGCAGCCAACGTCTCCAAGACAGCCTCGATGCCCTCCAAGACGGCCAAGATGGCCCCCAAGTTCGCCCAACATGGTCCAAGATGGGCTCCAAGACGGCCCTAGAGGGTCCCAGATGCCTCCAAGTCCGCCCAAGGAGCCACCCAGAGGGCCAAAGATGGCTCCAAGAGAGCCCCAACAGGCCTCTTAGACGGCCCAAGTGGCCTCCAAGAGGTCCTCCAGGAGGACCCGTAGAGAACGAAATCATTGGTTATCCTTCGGTTGTTGAAGAATTTTGGCACTTGGTTTTGTCGGCCTTCCGACAATCCACGACGGACCAAGAGGCCCCCAAGATCGCGCCATGATGGCCCCAAAGGCCTCCAAGATGACCTCATGACGGCCCACAAAGCCTCCAAAACGGCTCCAACAAGGCCCCCAAGGTCGCCCAAGATGGCCTCCAAGACAGCCCAAGAGGGTCCTAGATGGCCTCCAAGACGGCCCAAGATGCCTGCAAGTCCGCCCAAGAAGCATCCAAGACGGCCCACGAAGGCCCAAGTAGCCCCTGACAAGCCTCCAAGACGGCCCAACTGGCCTCCAAGAGATCCTATAGGAGGACCCGAAGAGGCCAAAACCATTGGTTTGCTTCAGGTTGTTGAAGGGTTTGGGCATTTGTTTCTTTTCAACGGTTCGACAATCCAAGACGGCCCAAGAGGCCCCCAAGATCGCCCCATGATGGCCCCAAAGGTCGCCAAGATGACTTCATGACGGCCCACAAGGCCTCCAAGCCGGCCCCAAAAAGGCCCCCAAGGTCGCCCAAGATGGTCCAAGATGGCCTCCAAGACAGCCCAAGAGGGTCCTAGATGGCCTCTCAGACGGCCCAAGAGGGCCCAAGATGTCTCCAAGTCCACCAGAAAAGCATCCAAAACGGCCCAAGACGGCCCCAGAAGCCCCTAACAAGCCGCCGCGGCGGCACAAGAGTCCTCCAACAGGTCCTCCAGGAGGACCCGAAGAGGTCAAAAATCACGTTTGTTTTGTTTATCCGCGGGTTGTGGAACGATGTTTGCGCATGTGTTTCTTGGCGGCCTTCCGACGGCCCGAAGCGGCCCAAGAGGCCTCCAAGATGGCCCCAAGACCGCCCGAGAGGCCTCCCGAATGGCCCCAGGACGGTCCAAGGGGGCCCCAAGACGGTTTCCAAAGGGCCCGAAGACTGCCCAAGAGGCCTCCAAAACAACAGAGATGGTCTCCAAAACGGCTCTCAGGCGCTCCAAAACAGCCCCAAGATGGCCCAGAGAGGCCCCAAGGCGGCCCCCGACGGCGTCAAACGGACCAGGAATGCTGCAAGACGGTTAAAGAGACCCCCGAAAAATCCCCAAATGCCCTCATGCGGCGCGGGAGGCCCCCGAGAGGCCCCCGAGAGCCCCCCGGGAAACTGCCAGGAGGCTCAGCTATGCCGCCACAGGCTATCAAAAAACCTTTTCATCCCCATCCTCCTGCTGCGTTGCGTACCTACCACTGGGGGTGCTCCGATTTGCAGGGCGCGGATGGTTGAGAGGACAGTGGGGCCCTGGGACACCGGGGCAATGCTGAAAAGAAATGAAGCGGGCCCATCCATTCTTCCACCAGTCAGTGCGGATGGTGACAGGGCACATCTCCAGATGTCAAGACGTTTGGCCTGGGGCCTGGGGTCTGCGCCAAACTGACCCCGGCCACGCCCCCCGAAACACGGGCCACGCGAGACGCGGAAGGCCCCCCATCTCCACCTCGGCAGCGGGGCCCCCGGCTGCCTCACCCAGAGGCCGCGCTAAATTCTGCGAGTTGCGCCATGCAGCAGAAGCGAGTAAGGAACAAAGAGGGGGGGCGCTGCTTTGCAGAAGCGGTTCGAACGCTGCCGTCCTCGTCGGCACCAGTTAGCACAAAGTGAGATCGGTAGCCGTGATTGCCCCTGCCGTGGGGCGGGGAAGCGACGACGCTCGCTTGGACCTGGGGTCAATGAGCGGCCTGGAAAACGGTGGATTCCACAGACTGTGTTCCATGCGTGCACTGGCCAAACCAAACTTGATCGACCGCCGCCTCGGGGCCAGCCAGGGATCTCACGCGAGCGTCCTCGGGGAGATGCCACGGGGATGGCGCCCCGAGGTTGCTGGGAGGGGCGGGGCGCTCCAAGGCCCCCGCGGTTCCAAATGAAAGATACTAGCAAATAGTCAAGAGAGTGGGAGGAGTAGGAGTAGGAGTAGGAGTAGGAGTAAGAGTAGGAATAGGAGTAGGAATAGGAGTAGGAGTAGGAGTAGGAGTCAAGCTAGCCAGCTCGAGCGAGTCAAGCATGGCATGCCCAGTCCCACCCGCCCTCCCACAACATAAGAAGCAAAGCTGGCACAACTGGGGGCCGAAGTCACACCGGCCAGCCGGTTTGGTACAGCTGATGCGGCCGCGATGGCGGTTGCCGACGGGAACTGGCGAGCGCGTGTTGAATGCCGCGCACGCATTGCCAGACGAGTCGAGAATGGCCCGGTACACCGCAGGAAGCCAGAGGTGGCCGGAGGAAGCCCGACGGTCTGACAGGACACCCCAAGGGGGCCCAGGAGGCCCCAAGAGGCAGGAGTAGTAGTACCAGTGGTAGTGGTGTTGGTAGTGGTAGTGGTAGTAGTAGTAGTAGTAGTAGTAGTAGTAGTAGTAGTAGTAGTAGTAGTAGTAGTAGTAGTAGTAGTAGTAGTAGTAGTAGTAGTAGTAGTAGTAGTAGTAGTAGTAGTAGTAGTAGTAGTAGTAGTAGTAGTAGTAGTAGTAGAAAAAATAGTGCTATGACAAGTACTTGCAGCACTACTAGTACTAGTAGTATTTGTAGTTGTTGTAGTAGTAGTCGTAGTCGTAGTCGTAGTAGTAGTAGTAGTAGTAGTAGTAGTAGTAGTAGTAGTAGTAGTAGTAGTAGTAGTAGTAGTAGTAGTAGTAGTAGTAGTAGTAGTAGTAGTAGTAGTAGTAGTAGTAGTAGTAGTAGTAGTAGTAGTAGTAGTAGTAGTAGTAGTAGTAGTAGTAGTAGTAGTAGTAGTAGTAGTAGTAGTAGTAGTAGTAGTAGTAGTAGTAGTAGTAGTGTAGTAGTAGTAGTAGTAGTAGTGTAGTAGT